TGGGGTATATATTTATTATAGAATATATTCTTGAAAACATATTTTATAACTTTTATTATAAAAGTTTTTTAAAATTACAGTTGGCCCTCCCTAAACCGATCCTGTCAAAACCGATAACCTGCTATAATCGGTTAAAAATCAATCCACTATACCCCGTTCCATAAGTAAAATCCAATAACCTGCCATTTCTGATATCTGATAGTCTTTACGTCTAAGTTTCTGATATGCTTGATTGTGTCACCGATATGTATCCAATCAAATCGCATAAAATTTATCAAAATTTCATGTGTTTAATTTACGTAGTACGGCAACTTATGTAGACATTTGAATTTTTTTAATGTGCTACTATTTGATACATCATTTCTATATATGAACGAAGTTTTTAAAATTTCTATCACCATTACGTACGTACAGTACATCGTATAAAATTTTATAGCAGATAACCAATTTTGTATGCACATAAATATAAAGTTTAATACTCTTTATTTGATATCTTTGTTCGTTATGACAGTTAACCAAATTTATATTTTAAACGATAAACTGGGGTTTTCTTTGTTTTTTTTTGTTTTTTTTTTTGTCATATACTTACAAAAAAAAAAAAACTTTACCAGATAAGTGTTTGTAATTAAAACTTTTTTTGAAGTTTATTTATTCCCAAATTGAAACTAATATGTGATGCTATTAATTATTCAGGCTTTTGAAAAAATCGATCCAATGTGTTTTGGACCTGTTTTTTTCCTCTTTCTTTCGGACCTCCTCACGAATGCATGATTGAAGCTCGTGCAAAGACTTCATTGTTACTCCACCATCATCAATTCTCTCATCAACAATTCTCAAAGCACCGTGCAAAATATCCAACTGTTCCTTTCTGGTTACAGGTTGTATTGTAACTTCATTTTCTTCATCTTCAATTTCTGTAGCAGCTTGAATGAAGTCTTCATCATTAAATTGTAAATGTATCTCCATATTTTTTTCTTCAAATTCCAGCAAATCTTTAATTGA